ATGCGGAAACCTGAAACTGAACTTCCGTTTGGGACTGTGGATGGCGGGGGTCTGATCAGAGACCAGATCAATCATCGATCTAAAAGAAAAAGCGATTTAAATAAGCGTCTATTTAACAGATGTTCAAGACTACCATCTCACCTGGCACTAATCTCGTTAGCTATCTCGATGGCGTGGTTGAGAATCTTCTCGTCCTTCACAGAAATGGGCTTCACAGTGCCCGACGACTTCTTTTTCGAGAGCAGACCATGGCCATGCTTATTGCCGTTGGTGTCGCCACTCTTTTGGCCAAGTTTGACAGACATTTCCGCAAACTCGTTCTTACTATTCACATGATCAAATCCCGGAGACTTGGGGTGACTACCGGAGGCCCCGCTTATCGATCCAAACATTGAGTTAATCTCGTCCAGCAACGATGGGCCGAAGTCCAGCTTGTCGGCAGCCATCTCATCATCTGATATTTCGTGGTACTCGTGAGGATCATCAACAATACTCCGAGAGCTGGGCCGCCACCCGGCCTCACCCGAATGGATACTCTTGCCATCCAAACCGTAGTTGTTGTTCTGCAAGCCAAACTCCAGCTCGTCATCCCCTCTGTTCAGGAAGAACGGATTGGTGGATCCGGTGGCGAAGTCGAATGAGCTCTGGCCGTTTGTGGCTATCAGCTTGGGTGTGTGCTCGGCGGAGGGAATGAATGTGGGATTCATGGAGGTGCCCATGGCACCTCCGCTGCTGGCACCCTCTGGGAAATAACCACTGGCGGTCTGCAGCGAGTCAGGACTGGTGGGCGTAGGCGGCAGTAGTAGGGGCGTCTGCTCAATGTCCTCCGAGGGCTTGTAGGGCGTCACAATCTGCTTGGGCACGTGATTGTACTGAGATAAACATTACAGATTAAACATTACAGCATGGAACCGATGGGCCAAATAACTTACATTCTGCGAACTTCCCAGGAAAGCGATATCGCCGAAGGTTGCTCCGTCAATACCCACGTGACCGGTGTGCTTAAAGTCGTTTTGCGGTTTTGAAATCATCTCGGTGCGTAACTTGCGTTTGCTGATCCTGTGGTCGCTCACCCGGCTGAAGGAGTCGCGGCTGGAGCTGGGCAGACCTTCGAGAAAGGCCACGGTGTTGGAGGGGTTGAAGTAGCCCGTCTTGCCAGTGCTGAGTACTCCCTTCCAGAAGGGCGTGCCCGTATTGCGGTCAAGAACGCTTATAATATCCCCCTGGCGATAAAGGAGATGGTCCTTTTTGGGCTCCGCACAATTCACAACGGCCTTCAGCTGCTCTGGCTTCATATCGGGAAGTTGGTCATAAATCTCACCAAAGCGCGGTCGCTTGGCAGCATCATCCTGCCAGCACTTCATCATCAGTGTATAATACTCGCTGGGACAGCAGTCGGGCTGTTCCAGTCGCTGGTAGTTGGGTGCGTCGATAGCCTCCAGGATCTGCAGGCCGGTAAGTGCAGCCCAGGGCTGGAAGCCGTAAGAGAACATTTCCCACAGGCAGACCCCAAAGGCCCACACATCGGATGCGTTGGTGAAGCGTAGATAGTTGATGCACTCGGGCGCACACCACGCAATCGGCAGCTTTAAATTCACGTTGAAGTTGGTCTTGTAGTAGTCCTTGCCCACGCCCAGGGCCCGCGACAGACCGAAGTCGGAGATCTTGACCTTGTCCTTGCTAAACACTAGGATGTTCCGTGCCGCCAGGTCCCTGTGAATTAGGCGCTTCTGTTCCAGGTATCGCATTCCATTGCAGATCTGCAGAGCAAACTCACAGAGCGTGGGGATGGTGAGGAAACTGACGCGCAGCCCCGAATCCTTGAGACACTCCAGAAGCGAGCGCAGATGGGCCAGCTCAGTGACCAGCATAAGCGAGTCCGTGGCCAGGACTACTCCGTACAGCCGCACGATGTTCTCGTGCTCGATGGAATGCATAATGGCCGCCTCCTTGAGGAACTCCATGGGATTCGACTGCATGCGCTCCCGGCACAGGCATTTGATGGCCACTTGGATCTGTAAAATAAGGATTACATTTTATATTTGGAATCTGGTAAAAGCTGATCCCGACTCACCCTTTCGCTACCATTGGACCAGACGCCCTGCTGGACAATTCCAAACTCGCCGGTGCCCAGCTGCTTGTTTACGCTAATGGAGTCCGCCGGAATGATGTGCTTGTTGTTGGGAACCTTGCCCGGCGAGCTAGCCCCGTTCTTGGCGGCTAGCGTGGAGCAGGCGGAGGCGCCATTACCATCGGGCGCCACTTGACCTGCACCGCCGGACGCCTCCTCCCGCTTCACCATCGTACCGGGCGCCTGCAGCAGACGCTTGATCTTGCTGAGGTAGCTGTGGGGGAAGTGCTTCTCGTAGAACTTGCGCAGCCTCCGGATTTCCGGGCGCGAGAGCCCAATGAAACGCAAATCCTCGTCCGCCGCATACTTGAACTGGGCCGCGTTCGTTATTTTCAATTCGTTTCTACGGGGAAGCATAGAGCGTGGGGTTAGTTCGGTTGGGGGAGCTGCTTCCGCTTTTTGGGTCACTCACTTGACGGCATTGTAGTACTGCTGCAGTTCGGACTCAGTGAGGAATTCGTATAAATCAATTTGTGGATACTCTGGAAGCGGGGAATGTACAAAAATAAACACATTAAGATCTTGAGTATATATAATATAGATACTATATAAGCGACCGCACAAAAGCAAATCTCGGGGGCCCTTATCTTTGACGTAAAGAGAGAGAAAAGGGGGAATACCCTAGGCAATAAATAACTTCTTTAACGATCGATCCGCCAACGCAGATGTTTTTTTTTTTGGTGTTTAATATGATAAAATAAAACACACACATCTTCTGCATACCCAAAAAGTTCCGCTCCTCCACCCCACCATCTTAACACACAAAAACTCTCTCGCAGGAGGACGTGAGCACATTGACACAGAATTCCGATTGCCTATACCCCTTGTTCGTAGAGTAAGAGGGGTATATTATATTGTAGCTTAAATACATAAACAGGATAGGTATTTTAAAAATATGTCAACATCATATCAAGTCTTGAGAACTATAAGAAATACAAATTTGGCGAATTCTTTTATAATACCTATTGGAAGTTCCAAAAATCTCTTTCAATAATATTCTAACCAGAAACCTTTTGAAAAGATCGAAAACGTTATAGAGTCTAAATGAATTTATAGATAACTGAGAGTTTAATTTTTCACTTGTGATTGATTCTGATAATTAGTCGCACCTTAGGATAGCTGTTTATAAGTCAATCGATTAGAGTGTTTCTTTCATCATGTTCATAATAGGGTAATGATCTTGAGAGGGATAAGTTTTTCTAAACAAATACTTATGGTGGAATGGGATTTAAGTGAAAACCACTTATATCTGAAGTCAATGAGAAGAGGGTATCTGATAGTCGGACCACTGGACCAAGGCGTTCGTTCTTGATGTCGCTGCACCCGCATTTGTCATCCGACTGCAAGGGGCCATTGTTTGTCCTCTCCGGAGTTGACACAGTGGGTGGGCGAGGGGGAGGGGTGCGGCTGGAAGAGATGCGGGGTGTAACTTGAGCAACAAATGCATGTACACAGATTGCGGAGCTGATAGTGTCCAGGGTTTTGGCGATAACTGAGTCATGGGGCTCCGGCTCCGCCCCGTTTCTGGTTTCTTCATCGGATCCCGATTCCGGTTCCGGTCGCACTTTCCCGCAGGACTTCACTTGTCCTTGAATATGCAAAATAAAATCGATCGGCCAATACATACACGCACACACACACTCTCACACGCAAGCGGAAGCCCAGTCGCAACTACGTTGCAGAAAAAAGCCGTTTTACAACCGATTTTCCTGCACTTTTCACCTGCCGCCAGCGAGTTCATCTTATTAGCCGCACAATAAGATCTTTTTTCAGCCTTTAACTGCTCTTTTTCTGTCAAACTTACCCATTTTACACTCGCGTGTGCGTCTGCATTGTTTTTTGTTTTTTTGCTGCAATTAGTATGACCGTCGTGCGGAGTCGGCTCAATTACCAAAGGCCAGTGTTGGTAAATACTCAAGTCGTCGGTGTAACGGTAGAAAGGGAAATTTAAATATTCCGTTACGTTTTGAATAATTTACACAGCCCTACCAATTTCCTTGAAAAGACTTTATCTACTTGATAATATATGTATATATTTAAATCATTCAACTATATTACTTCTTTTTGTGCATATGTACTTCGCAATAAGTTTTGGTTTTCTTAGTTTTCAAATACTACTCAAAGTTTGGCAAAATACTTGGTTTTTCAAGTTCTTTATTTTAAGTTTATTTAAAATGTTAGTTTTACATCCGCTTATATGTTTTAAAGCACTTGTTTCATCACCAAATAAATGTGAAATCCAAGTGTCTTTTGCGTGAAACTGCATTGTACATTTTGTCTGGCCCCGCTGCTAGATCAAGTTCCCAGGATCCAGACGAAGCTGAAATGGATTGAAGTAGACTGTCCAGTTTGCTTGAAACTTGTTTTTATTAGAATGTATATTTATATTTTATTCACATTTATAAATGCAGTGAGTAAGGACCATTTTCCTTGTTTTTAACATCCGGTCGATGCTCTTTCTACTCTAATCTGGGCTTTTGACGGATTTACGTTGAAAATTTTCATATTATTCTCCGATTTTAATTCCTGGGAAGGAAAACTTCGCCGTCGGCAAATCACCGGTGGCCGCGCCATCGTAAATGTCCCATTACCATCAGGAACACGATCCCAAAAATCGGAAATTTCCAAGCGAGCATTCTGAGCGACTATATCTTACTAAAAATTATTTCACTGAACAATTTCAAAGAAAAGAAAAATGCTGTTATCTATGAGGAAGTTAGGTCATATATAATCATATTTTAGCAACTCAGGGGTTTTTCTGCGAAGTTCTTTAAGAAATGGTTTTTAGCAATTCGATCATGTTTAAACTGGAATTGCATTTGCACAAAGTTCTCCTTAGTCTCAAATAGCTTGTTGATGACAATGTATATAATCGATTCAATTAATAGCATTTATTCATATACATATGGATTACTTTAGTTATAAAAAACAATGATCGCATCAAAGCGTGAATATTTGTGGCGTCTACTGTTAAAAGGTGCTCAGAACAAACGGAAGCTGCTGGGGAAGGCGGTGACCATCATGCGGTTGATAACAGTCCGGATGTGCTCGTGACCCAAGGCGCCGTTGATGGCGGCCAGCTCCTCGAAGTGGTCGCGCGTGCGCTTTTCCTCGATCAGCTTCACCACGTACTTGTACATGCGACCGTAGTGGGCGTTGGCATAGGCGTGCCACAGGGCGAACTGAATGGCCTTGGAGTCGTTGGCATCCACGAACTTAATAATCTCCGTGTACAGGTCGTTAATCTCAACCAGGCGATCCTTGATGGTGTCATCTAAAACGGCCAGCTTGGCCAGGGCAATACCCTTCTTGCTCAGCGCCTCGATGAGATTGTTCTTCTGCTTGTCCATGTTGCTAAAAGAAAGAGAAAGTTAATTTCCTTTTGAAATCTTTAACCCAACTATCCACTTACGTCTTAATCTTGGCTGCATCGGCACGAGTGTCGTTCTTCAGCCCATAGTACGAGAGCAGGGCCTCGGCATCCGTCTCCTCGATCACCTTGTCGGCCAGCTTGACAATGCGTTCCAAGGCGCTGCGCAGCTTCTTTTGGTCTTCCTTCTGCTTATCGGAACTTTCTCCTGCCTCCGGGGGTGAAGTTTTCTGGGCATTGGCGAAGGTCAGAGGCAATTGCGACTTCAACTGGTTGGTCTCAATGTTCTGAATGAGCAGCAGGTTTGCCTGCAGGTGCTTGGGATGGGCCGCCACCACCTCGTTGTAAATCTTCTCTGCCATTTCTAGCTCTGCAAGAAAATGATTGGTTTTAATAATCTTATAAAAGGATATATTGTTCTCATATAGCTACCACACTTGACGATGTGCGAGCACTGGAAGTCACGTAAGCTTTCAGCATAGTCATCAGCATTGGTCTTTCCTTTTTTGGGCGAGGCGGGGCAGGCTGTGCTGTCTACCGGCGAATCGCTCTGGATCGTGATTCCATCGCCAGCCGCGGGATTGGTAACCGAGGTAGCCGCCTGGGGGGTTGCCGGAGCCTTGGGTTTGGCCGCATTGGCCGTAGCGGCGGCGGCTGCAGCTGTTGTAGAACCTGCAGCGCTGGAACCGTTGCTTGAGCCATTCGTGTGCGCCTTCTTCTCGGCGGGATTCAGGATGTAGGTAAAGGGATGCACCGCTACTCGCCGACCGGCCTCGTCTTGCGGAAATACCAGGTTGCCGCTTAGCCAGGCGCACTGGGCGGGCAGATTGGCCTTATTGAGACGCTCCTGGGTAATAGGGGCGATGTACAGCACCCTGGTGGATTCCCTTAGCAGAGCTGAGACAAACTTACGGCCGCCCACGACGCACTGGTTATAGTTCTCGTAGAAGTCGAGGGTGAGCATATTGGTCAACTTAAAGGAGGCCACAAGATTGGCCTCCGAGATCTTTTCCAGCAGTTCGCGCTTTTCGTGACGAACCTGCAACCGAACTGTGTAGTCGCCCTTCTCGAGCTTTGTGAAGAACGTCTGGGAGTGGGCATCCCCGGTGGCCACCAGGGCCTTATTCGCATCGTACAGCATCCACATCTGGGACTCAAACTCCGCCTCGTACAGCAAATCGTTGAAGATCGGTGCGTACAGGGCAACCTCTGCGGCCTTGGCCACATTCAAGTTGAACACTAACAGATTCTGGTACACCTGCCGTCCCTCTGGGATGACGTCACGGGTGGCGCTTAGTGGCGAGATCTTGGCCTCGGTGGGCTTCAGCACCACTGCGGCGCTCTTCAGCTGCAGCACCGGCTGCACATCCTCCGAAACCAGGGCCTCGACCTCCAGCTTGTGAATGCCCCTTCCCGCGTGCATGACATCTGTAAGATATAAGTATTGTGTGTTCAATGAAGGTTATATAAAGTTCACCAACCACTCACAGGCATTGGGATTGTGTGCTTCCACACCGCGGAACACCAGGCTGTACTTCAAATGACTCTGGCCGTAGTTGGACCAATACTTGGCAATACACAGCTCCAGAATCTTACCAGACTGCAAATCATTAGTTGGTTAGTGGGAGTATAATCAGAGGGGCAATTTGATTTACCCACCTTAACCTTGAAAGCCATGGTGGATTCTTGTTCAGAACCGACAGCCACGATCTTCATAGTCTCAAGTTTGCGGCAGGATTGCTTGGGAAGCAACTGGTTTGTATGAACGAAGAACTTGCCAATGTCCTTGCCACGATTAGGATCGGTGATGCGCATTCGCAGCTCTTTAAGAAAGGGAAAAATTATTTATTTTATAGACATTTTTTAAAGGTGCACACTTACCCGCCCAAGTTGCGTGCTCGGGCACCAGGATGAAATCTCTCTGAATGGTGTTTGGCTGGAACTCCACGCTTTTGTCTCCCTTGGAGGAGGCGGGTTCAAAGACGGGTGTATTATGGTCAGACTCCAGGACATGGGGCTGGACCACCGTGACGGGAATCTCGAAGAGAGCGCCTTTCTGCACATTGTCGGTGTCATAAGCACGAATCCTGGAATAATATGAAAACATCGAATTAGGAATTGCTAACGTTTTGTGATAGAGAGAATCTTACACGGCACTGTGTACGCCTGGCTGGAGTCCAGTGGGATCGATGCGCACCACAATGGTACGTGTCCCGTAACTAAGATCTAGGAAAGCTCCACACTGCACCCATGTCTGAGAAGCAATGAGGTTCAGGCGCACATTGAAGTTGAACTTGTCCTTGGGATCTGAAAAACAGCGAAGGGTTAGAGCCCGAACGGGGTGATCTATATAGTTTTAACTAACCCGCCTCCTTGTCGTTAAAGAAGACCGGCTCAATGTTCACGTTGTAATCGATGAAGTTGCGCTGCACGCCTTGGCGCAGATGAATGCCCTTAGCCTGATTATTGCCCACGCGAACGGAGAACCTAGTGGATTAAATAAGGGGTAAATATATTTAATATAACAATGTAATTTTTTCCGACAAACGACTACCACAATTTCAAAGCTATATAATCTTCACCGCGGTTTAATTACTATTTTTGCAAACAAAAGGAACATGATATCAACTTTTATAAGATGTATAAACATAAAAAAACGTGAAGGCTCGCCTATCAGATATCTGATAAACCGTTTGTTGCAAAAATGGAAACTTTTCATTTTACAATTCAAAATTGTTTATCGACAAAAAAGATTAAAGCAGATATCATAAACGGTAAAATTGCTTTCGTGTTTATAAATGGTAATTTGATTTTAACTACTTATAAAAAATAAATAATTACACCGGTTTGGCATATCTGATTTCCCTTGCAATTGATTATTCCCAGATTTGATTACTCAGCGATTACCAGTAGATACCTCTCAGCAGAACCCACCTCAGCATATTGTCCTTGGACTGCCGGTGTTCCGTCAGATGCTCGAAGGCCTTCTCCACATTGAGCAAGCCATGACCCTGGGCAAAGGGATCCACGTAGCCCAGCTTGGTGGCAGTGACGCTGATCGCCCGCTTAATACTGTACGGAGAATACTCGATGTTCTGTTGCTTCAGTCCGGAGATGAGCAGGGCCACAGCGCCGGCCACATGAGGTGCCGCCATGCTGGTGCCGTTCATCAGCTGTGATTTGCTCATGGTGAACTGCGGCACGGACGCAATGGCTCCGCCCGGAGCGCACACGGTCACGCCCTGGCCTCCATCGATGCAGGGATCTCGCGATGTCCAGGTGTACACATTGCCGGGCAGCTTCTCCCGCATCGCATACTCGGCTTCCATCATTTGGGGTGATACGTAGGCACCCACGCCAATTAAACTGGGCTGGCTGATGTCCGGAGGAGTGCCCACGGTGCAGAGTGCCGGGCCGTGGTTGCCGGCTGAGGCTACCCAGACCACGCCGTACTTGTTGACAACCTCGTTCATCAGGTCCCCAATGCGGCTGCAAGAGATTAGAGATACAGATTAGGCCTCTATTCATGGATTATGGTGGCTATCAGTAAGGTTTGTGTTTGGCGGCTGGAATGTGTCGGAGACAAGAGGACTGGAGTGTGTGAGTATTCGGATTTCGAATGTCATTTACCTCGACGCACACATCTTCTTTCTTCTGCGACGCATTTCATCCAACCCAGACCCACTAAAAGATATCCACAATTCTGGGATTAGCTGCCGCCATGCCATTCGCACTTGCTTACCCGGAGTTCGACCAGTTGGCGTGCTCCCCGTAGCTCATGTTGATCACGTCGATGCGCCTGCCCTCGCGACACAGCTCCATTACCTTGGTCATGGCCCGCACCAGAGCCGTTCCGGTCTCCATGGATCCTAGTCGCCCATCGCCGATGGTCATCGACACAATCTTGGCGTTCGGCGCCACGCCATCAACATCCCGGGAGCTGTGGTTCCCGCTGGCAATAGACGAGACGTGCGTTCCGTGCGGTGAGCACATGCCCACCACCTCCAACACGTTGCCCTCGTCGTGAACGTTCACGGATATTGATAGGAAATCGTCCACGTTGCGGGTCTCGTGTGTTCGCGAGTATTCCCCAATGCGCAGGGCCTGCTCCAGGTCACCCTGCTCCGTGGTATCGATGATGGTCAGCCAGCCGTTGGCCGTTGGGAAGAGAATGCAGTCGTAGGAAGTCTTAATGTCATTATACACCTTCTCATAGCTGTTAAGCATCTCCAGCTCAAAGTCAAGGTTCTCCTTCACTATCTTCTTGTCCCAGGGCAGCTTGGAGGCTTCTCCTGCGAAGAGAGAGTTCATTGGACACTCAGTTGCAGGAAAGGGAATGATCTAATCTCACCTGGATTTTGTGACTCGAATTCGACAATCTTGCGACTGGCATTGGCAGTGGCCGTCTTGTGCGGCTTATCCCAGTGTTTCAGCTTGGCCTGTGCCACGATGTTGTTTCTCACCTTGGACGGCACTAGATCACTGAAGCTCTTGAGGCCCACCCGAACCGCCTTGTCCGGGTCCGTGTTTAGGGACAACAGCTCCGGACTCAGCTTGAGCGTGTTGCCGGACAAGCCCTTGAAGGTGCCACTCTCGTCCGGTGTCACCTTCTTTTTCATATCCACATCTCCGCATCCAGAGCAATCGTACCGCTCAATCACTTTTACGGTTTTGCCATCGCACAGCGTCTGTTGGCAGGGAGTAGGGTAATGGTGGTGTAGATTAGAGGAGGAGCAGGTGGAAGGGAGAAGCAGATGGCAAGAGGTGGATGTAGAAGGAGGAACAGGTGGACAGAAAGGCCATATGGAAGGAGGAGGTTAAAAGATAAGTGGGATGAAGGGGGATTAGATTAAAAAAAAAATAATTAGGTATCAGGTATATTTATGGATGAGTAAATTTAAGGATGAGTAGGTTAAGGAAGGAACAGCTATAAGGAGGTGTGGCCAAAGCGGAGCACCAGCTGGCCACCGGCAAAGAGCGTATGTGAAAAGTGCCAACTCACCTCCAGTCCCGTTGCCCGGGGATCCACGCCGGAATCGAAGATGGCTATGGTGACGTCGCGTCCGTCGTACTCCGGATACTTCTGTAGGAAGTTCAGCACCCCCGTCTCCGCCTTTGGGACCAGGGCGCCCGTGGGAAATGACTCGACAATACCGCTGGTGGCCATGCTCATGCTCCTGCTCTCCGCTGCTTTGTCGCTCTTCTCGTTCTTGGTGTTCTTCTGGATGTTGTTGTTGCGCTCGGAACTCTCTGCGAATTCCTTGGTCGCTGTTTCAATGGAGAATTGGATTGGTAAGGTAGGACCGAGACTTTGTTGAAAAAAAAACGGGACAACTGACTAGGCAAATATACCGTGAAAATACCATCTGACTTGATCGTAAGCTGGTCACACCGCCTTACACTGAAATTAAAATTTCTTTCTACAGCGACAAGTATTTATCTTTTACTTTGAGCGAAAAACAAATAAGGTGAAATAATAAGAATTGACTTTTGATGACAGAAAATTAAAATTATAAAATATTATGATCTGACGGAGTCTAAATTCATATAAATCTTTTCATTTAAAATCTAATTTTAAAAAACTACTGCACCGTTTATTATTATTATTTCACTGATATTTTATTTATATATTACTGTTGCTTGAAAAATATCATTTTTTAAAACCAAGTAGCAGAACGAATTTCTGTCACAATTACTTTCTTATCGGTATTGCATCACCTCTAGTTCAATAATCACTTTTTAGTATATTTTTGCGGGCCCCGCTGTATATTTTAACGGGTCATACACGGTCCCACTAGGTTGTCGTCTTTTGGAAAATATCATAACAATCTATTTACCCGACAATATGTGGTTCGAAATCTTACCTGGTGCCGTGATCATCACCACGCTCCTGTCGGTGCCCATATACGCCATGTACGGCCTGGACAAGCTGACCATCGGCAATGTGAGTTCCAGGAAGGCCTTCTGCCCGAGCAGCTCGAAATTCTTATATAACCGCAGCTGCTGGTGCACCAATCGGAATTTGTTTAACATTATTTAAAGGCCTACCTTTCGCACAGGGTTCTACGGCACTAGGGACACTTGCTACGGAGTTTCTAATATTTTTCGTATGCTTTACAGGCTTTCCGGCGCAACATGGACGAGCGTTTCAGCCGAGTGATGTACCAGCGCGACTTCCGACTAACCGACAATCCCTACAAAATGAACGTGAGTGATAAGCTATAGTCTGGCCTGCCTAAAAATAATATTTTTTGGCAGCACTTATTGTCTCATAGAGCTATTTCCAAAAATGTTTACGTTTGTTTTTAAGGTTTTGGCTTAATTTAATTTCATTTTTGTTTCAATTTCAAATCATTTTCATTTTATTTACTTAATAATTTTACTTTACGTATCATCTCACACTTTTTGTGTTTTAAAAATGTTTTTGGGACTACAAATTTTAGTTGACAAACATGATTTTAATATATGTTTTTTTATTATTCCACTCCTAGCATTAATATATAAGGTCCCTTCAGACCATTTTCCGAAAGGATTCCATTCGCCCACTAAATAAGCTTATAATTTCAATGGGTCTTTACGTAAAGTGATTTTCAGTATTTTTTTTTAAAATTAAAAAATGGTTTTATGTCTATTATTTTACCTTGCATGGTGGTTGGCTTTCCTGTTCTAGTTTCAGTTTATGATCTGAAATTTCCATCCTATATTTTGTGCTTTTCCATCATACCATCCATTTGTGCATGTTTATCTTAAGAGGTTTAAGATCCCATATCTTCTATTCAGAACCATTTCAATTTTCTTGCAGGGTCTGGATGCCATACCTGATGAGAAAACTAAATAACTTAATTTAAGTGAAGTTTTCCGTTTAAGCTTAAGAGCAAAAGTGAATAAACGAAACGTTTAGTTCGAAAGTGATATGATAGTTGAATTGGTCGTTTTTGAGTTTTCCCTGTAGTTTTCCACCGTTTTGTTTTCCCTGCTTAGGTGTAAAGCCCCTCTCTTTCTAGGGACTTGAACAAATTCCCGATGAAGAGGAGAAGAAGGATCAGAAGGACCCCAATGAGGATTACGATGTGGGCGATGATCCCGCGCTGTTGAAGAAGAGGCAAAAAGAGCGCAAGTTGAAGGAAAAACAGCTGAAGGAGGAGGAAAAACAGAGGGAGAAACAGCTGAAGGAAGAGGAAAAGCAGAAGAAGAACTAGCAGGAATAAAAACAAACATTTCGGCTGTGTAGCCCCCAATCCGAATAAAGGACTCTCGGCCTTTGCCGCCATTTAACAACCCTGTTCTCGTGACAGGAAACCACCCCTATGGGAGAAGTACGGGTGGCGAAACATCCCGTCGTTAACTTTGTGGTATTCGGTGAAAAGGCGTCGTCGAGCTGTGAGCGCGCAAATAAACAAATATTCTACCGACTAATTCTAGATTTCTACCTCTTAAAAGCGTTTAAAATTTTGGATTTTAGAATACTGTAGAGTTACTCCGTAAAATGTTTGAGTTTTTGGGTGCCTGTAGGTATTTCGCTTAGAAACGGTGTGGAAAACCAGGCATACACATAAAACACAGCCATGACTGCCGGGCAATGGGTGGGGGTGGCTGAGCTGGTGCTCCGGGTGCTGGGGGTCAAAAGGGGAGCTAGCTTGGCTTGCCTGGGGATGTGCGTGCTCTTCTTCGCCAGCACCACGCACGCGAACTCCCTGAACGCCATCGAGGAGCCCGTCACCCGGCGTCACCACCAGCGACATCACGAGCGGGAACGCGAACGGGAGGAGAACGGCTACTGCGCTCCGTACAGCGGAAAGGTGTGCAAGGAGTACCTCACCGGCCAGGTGTGGTACAGCCTAGATGATCCCACCGGCGGATGGAAGAACGAGCAGGTGACCACGGCGCTCTGGGACGAGCTCATCTCCGATCTCACAGGTCTGTGCCGCGAGGCTGCCGAGGTAAGTTCATGAGGCGGGAAACACCTATTTTATATTTCTTTAAAAAATATATGAATATATAAAATTGAATATGAAACTAAAATCCTTTTTTTTACCGTATAACCTTTTTTAAACCATTATTACTAATCGCAATCCCTTATAGAAAATGCTCTGCGCCTATGCCTTTCCCAACTGCCACTTAGAGGGTGGTCGAGCTGTGAAGGCTCCCCTGTGCTTCGAGGACTGTCAAGCCACGCACCTGCAGTTCTGCTACAACGACTGGGTGCTCATCGAGGAGAAAAAGGAGCGCAACATGTTCATCAAGAGCCGCGGGCACTTCCGGTTGCCCAACTGCTCCTCCTTGCCGCACTACAACGCCTCCATGCGGCGGCCCAACTGCTCCTATATCGGTCTCACCGAGCTCAAGGAGTCGGAAGTGAGCTGTAAGTCCATATAACCTGGATCACCCTAAAGGCGTTCTTAAATTGTATTAATATTTTCCTTTTCCTCTACAGATGACTGCCGAAATGGCAACGGGCGCTTCTACATGGGAACAGCAAACGTGTCGAAGTCCGGTATTCCTTGCCAGCGCTGGGATACTCAGTTCCCCCACAAGCACTTCCAACCTCCTCTGGTCTTCCATCAGCTCCTGGAGGGCGAGAACTACTGCCGGAATGCGGGTGGCGAGGAACCGCATCCCTGGTGCTATACTGTGGATGAATCAGTTCGCTGGCAGCACTGCGATATACCCATGTGTCGTAAGTAAAAATAGTCCCTGCCTCCAATGTTTATCTAATGATCTCGTTTTATTTTAGCGGACTACGTTGACCCCAATGCCGGCGATTTGAATACGCCGATAAAGATGGAAAAGTTCTTCACGCCCTCGATGATTTTCCTGCTGGCTGGGATTGGTTTCGTGGCCATCGTGGCCCTGCACCTAATGATCCTGCTCGTTTACAAGCTGTCCAAGCATAAGGACTACTCCCAACCCCCAGGAGCAGCCACTGCCGATTGCAGTGTTTCCATGCGTGGAGTAGGAGAGTGCGGCGGGAATCTGAACACCAGTCGGGAAACTCTCGGAGGCAATGGGAACACCAATACCTTGGCCAAGTGGGGCACCATCCGAAGCACTGCCACGGTCCACAGCAATTGCGTGGCTCTTACCACAGTGACCAATATCCCGGATGGGAAGGGCTCGAAACCAAATGCGCGCCTGGAGAAGCTGGAGTACCCACGTGGGGACATAGTTTATGTGAGATCCCTGGGGCAAGGAGCTTTCGGTCGAGTCTTCCAGGCCAGAGCTCCTGGACTTGTCCCCGACCAGGAGGATCTCCTAGTGGCCGTGAAGATGCTCAAGGACGACGCCAGCGATCAGATGCAAATGGATTTCGAGCGCGAGGCCTGTCTGCTGGCCGAGTTCGATCATCCCAACATCGTCCGGCTGCTGGGCGTGTGCGCCTTGGGCAGACCCATGTGCCTACTGTTCGAGTACATGGCGCCCGGCGATCTCAGCGAGTTCCTGCGTGCCTGCTCCCCATATGCCACCCACCAGGCGCCGACACGGGATCGCCTACAGCTGAATGAGCTACACCTGCTGCAGATGGCCGCCAACATTGCAGCGGGCATGTTGTATCTCTCCGAGCGGAAGTTCGTCCACCGGGATTTGGCCACGAGGAATTGCCTAATCAACGAGCACATGGCAGTGAAGATCGCCGACTTTGGGCTCTCTCACAAGATCTATCTGCAGGACTACTACAAGGGCGATGAGAACGACTTCATCCCGATCCGCTGGATGCCACTCGAGAGCATCCTGTACAACAAGTTCTCACTGGAGTCTGATGTGTGGGCCTACGGCATCTGCCTGTGGGAGGTCTTCTCCTTCGCTCTGCAGCCGTACTTCGGGTTGACCCACGAGGAGGTGATCAAGTACATCAAGGAGGGCAACGTGCTCGGCTGTCCAGACAACACGCCGCTTTCCGTCTACGCACTGATGCGTCGCTGCTGGAACCGCAAGCCAAGTGAACGTCCGGGTTTCGCCGAGATCAACCACTGCATCCAGCACAGCATCGCGGAGAGTGAGTGCAAAGCGATGCTCTAAAGGATCGCCGGCGGAGTCGAGGAAAGAAATCAGTGTACCACAGAACGATCGTCCGCCGTCTTCCGGGGCATCCAATAGAACCGTATATATACACGCCAGGGTGGGAGGATAAATCTTAGATAGGAATGTCATCTATGGTTAAGTTAAATTCAATGCTTTATTATAACGTTATTTAAAAATAATTGGCACACTCGTATATCTTCTAAAGTGAGTTTAAATTTACTTTATAATAATTTAATTGTTTTTTGTATCTTATCCAAGAAACCTCTAATTGAAAATTACGTTTAATGTATACATCCTTAGAACTCTATAGATGACACTCCTAGACTATAATTATTGAATTCAACCCACCTTATTACACACTCTTTTATGCTAACATATGCAAATTGATTTGAAATATTGCACAAGGTGAGATCAGAAGGGCAACAGGATTGTGATTAAGTTAGTTTCAAGACCACTCCATATCTTTAAGAAATCGCTCCGGTACTAAGTCTTTCAATTGATGCTTCCTCACCAAACTTTGTTTACTTGATTCAGACACTATTTTGATATATTTATATCCACTGATCTCTCGTAACCAATCGAATAGTCTGCCACAACGAACGCATCATCAACGTTTCGTACTCATATCTAGTCTGTAGTTTAAGTTTATCTATATGCGCATATGTAGATTGCATTTTAATGGGATTAATTTTTGACTAGGCTTAAGCTCTGCCATCGCAGCACTCCACAAAGATCCCTGATCGCTGGGTGGGAAAAACAGGAACCACACACCGGAGGCCATCAAAACAATAAGTTGTATGAGATATGGAATATTTAGAGAACTGTCTACAGCCCGAATTTCTGGGTAACTTTACATAATCTTTGTAACTAAAACAACGTGTTGATTGTAATTTGTATAAATAAACCATCCATAACCGTATCACATCAGCAGTAGTAGTAATTGTAATAGTAATTATCGTAGTAGCAACGGTTATAGGTTGCGGGATAGGGAACAGGCAGAGGCACGGGAAGAACTCCGCCGTACCCTGCATATCCAGCGTATCCGCCGTATCCTCCGTAGCCGTAAAATGGACGTGCACCTCTGAAACCACCTGGGGGTCCACCTCTGAAACCTCCACGACCTGGACCGCCGAATCCTGGACCCCTCCCTCCAAAACCACCTCTTCCGAAGCCACCTCCTCTTCCGCCTCCGAATCCGCCGCCTCGTCCTCCTCCGAATCCACCAGCATGACCGCCTCCGCCATGTCCTCCTCCACCTCCACCACCGCCACCGCCTCTCGCCTCCGACATCTGTGAAAGGGTCACCAGAATCATCAAGCACAACAAGATCCAGAACTGAGACATCTTCTTCGGTTAGAACCTTATCGATTCGTGGGTAAATCACGACTAAGTTCAGATGACTGGGAAACTGTATTTATTGCTAACTAATTAGGACACCCACGTTAATTGGCAATGCGAACATGAGTTCATGTATTGAAAATCCCCGATCGATATAATCTTATTTGTTTCTGTATTTGCGTTATTTTTCCTCACTCCGCCGATTCACACTCCTCGATATCACAGCAGCCTAAATGATTAGGCATCAAATGGAATTTGTTTCTTAACCGAATGATCTTAAATATATACATAGATGGGGGGATGAGCCAGAAAGAGAGCATTTTACAGCGCCTCAGGGCATTGCTTGTTTTTGCTGATGATCAGCCTTTCCGGATCCAATGAGAGCCGCTTCAATACGTCGTACACCTTGGAGCGGATGTCCACCTCGAAGTCCCGGTCACGTCCGAGAATCCAGATCTGGTCGGAGTGGCCGAGGGATCCAATGCTGCCGCAGGACCACAGAATGGCAAAGTTATCGTAGTCCGTGTAGAGCACCTGGTACTTTCCGGAACCTGGTAGCAGTCGGGCAATTACCTCCGGAAAACGGGTGGTAAACTAGGGATATAATAATAATATAATAATATAGATAATATTAAAAATATCTAAAGAGTGGATCATACTAAAATTGAATATATCTTCTTAGTAAGTCCTCCGATTTTGTTCAGTTTTACTTAGATAATAGACAATATAAAAGTAACATTTCCTTTCTTAGAGATGTTTGATTTTTGAAAGAAAAGCCATACCTTGAAATCCATAATCGATGATCGACTGTTTTCTGGCGTCGCATACCCGATATTTACGTTTGGATTACCAGTTCTAAAGAGGAAAAAGTGATTAGTTAGGGATATTATACTGTTTAAGAGTCTATGTGACCTACATGCGATTGATGTTTTTGATAGCAACCGCCAACTTAAAGTTGGAAAATTTGGACAGTTCTCCCTTGTTGTACGGCTCAAACTGGAAGGTTGTGCATCCAGAAGCGATTTCCGGAAGGTAAAAGGAGCGCTCCACTTCGTACCAATGGCCCAGAACCTGGATGATGATTACAATTTTTGAATTTAGAAAAGAGAAGTCAATATAGAAGATTGTAATATGTGCATCTATACTGAAGAAAATTGTTTCTCTAAAATGCGACGAAAATTCCCTAAGAGTAATTAGTCAAACATCTCCGATAAAGAAAATTTAACTGCACTTTAATAAAAAATGCATTCTTCTAATCTTTTTCTTAAACTATAAATATCTTATCCAAATATTTTACTAACTAAATGACCCACATGTGTTCTACACACCGTTTACACAGTTTTTCCAGAAAACGTTATTGTTCCTTTGTTATCCAAACGTCTCATCAGAACTTCATGCATTGGGCATATGGACTGGATCTAGAACCACGTTCAAGTCATAAGCCTGAAACCCAAAACCTTTCTTGGAATTCTTGGATTTGTCACTCAGCGTTTCTCTCGGCCAAGAAACACTTAACTGGGTTACTAATTCAGCGCCCTACCATCCACCACAAACCACTTAACCCAAACAATGCGTAAAACGTAAACATTTTGGGAACTGGTTTTGGTTTCTGGCTGCTAGCCATTGAGAAGAGTCGCACTTTTGGCAGCAGACCAACTTGCAGTTCAAAGACGGAGGGCGCCTCGTCGCATTTAATTAGTACTGACGATGATCCGAGGTCTTTGCCCCGGGTCAAAAGTGGTCGTTGGGGGCGGGGACGATGTCAAATGGTTAAATTCACGCCTGTCAACAACTCAATTGGATGATGTGCCAGTTGGGGAAGTGGAGAGGAGGTCGCCAGACCCACATAATGTGAATCACAATGCCTCTTTCTCACTCGGGCAATTATGGTGCATTATCATTTATGCAAATCAAGGCTCAATCAATTTAATTTGAGCTGCTAAAGTGATTGGGCCAATTTTCTAGTCTATGATCTCAGCGGTGCCAATTAACAGTGGCGGTGTGATTTAAAAATTCCACTTATGGTTTCAGAGGAACTATAAAAAATGTTTTAGGGGCATAATTAGCCTTTTATTTCCAAGTGTTAAAAACAGTTTTATTTCCAAAATGAAACTACTAATTCCAAAAATTTCTCTTTCTTCAAGAAAAGAAATCTTACCAAAGATTTCTTTATTTGATCCAATTCGGAAGCCGTATTTTATTCCCTTAAAAAATGTCGCTTTCAATGGAAGTGATATTAATTTAATGTTCGGGTTAGGGATGTTCGACTGTAAATACACTTTGTTGTCCTTGGCATGCCCATGTCTGAGCATTGGTACTGGTTGATTTACTTCTTTATAAAATAAGTGGCTTGTTTACCATCGGACAGGCCATAAAGCTTTTGTGCCTCTCGCCTCCTTCTGTAAAACAGGTTTGCATTTTACACGGCGGATCGGATTTGGTGGCCTTAAATTGGTTCAAGTTCATCTTATGCACAATCCACAAAATGAAGAAAGGTCTTCGTCTTCGGATGCCGCCTTGTGCTAATTAATCGAAGATGTGACACGTTTAGGATGATGGCAAATAACGATGACGTGCGGATTTTACAATGAATCTCAGAGTTTTAAGCCAGAGAAACCCAAATGGATTTAGCCAAACTCGATAAGTAACTCCAGAATCCCAAGTCAAACACCAAGCCCTCAAAAATGTTTCGAAGTATAGGTAGATTTTGAAATAAATATTGAAAAGCCCAAAAAGATTTTAACTTCTTTAGGTAAGCACCTCTAGTATGCCCAGTCACACCTCAAAACTTCGTGTTAGATTGTATTTCACTACATTTTTTAAAGAAATATCTACGCGGGTACTCGATGGTAATTATCATATTATTAATTTATTTATTTATTCTCAGGTTAAAAGGCAATTGAGAAATTACCTATAACCTATAATTATCATAATAATTTTGGTATTCACATCAACAGATACATTGTGGTATCTTGAAAATAACTTGACTTCAGAATTTTATTCGAAAAATTATTGAGCTTATACATATTAAAAAAAATTGACCCCAACACTAATACATAAATTATTTTTCAAAACCAAAAATAATTATATTTATTTGTATAGTCTCTATGGAGTGTGTATTATAAGATCTCAAGATCGTTTTAATGTATTATACACAAAAGTTTAGTAGCTGTATATCAATCTCCGGTTCGATGGGGTCAGCAACTAACTTACCCGACTCATATTGAACTTTGGCATCGATGGGTAATTTGGGCAACGTCCAAATCCATAGGCATTTGTCCCGGCGAATGTCAGTAATAAAACTCCGGACAAAAGGCAAACACTCGAGACCAGTGACTGTCCAGCCATAATTGTTTATTTTTTTTAAAGTTCACTCTAACTATTTGGCACTTGAAGCGGCAGAATTGGCACAACAGCACCCAACTAAACTGTGTAGAATTCGAAATCAGGTAATTATTTTCATTGAACTCGACCGTATTCACTTGGCTGTGCACAAAGTGATTTTCGATTCGACGGGTTCACTTGGCCAACGAACTATGTATGGATCAACATTAGCATTTACATTTCCTCAAAGTAACCATCCATTGATATTCCGGATGGGAAGTGTGCGATAATGAAAACGTGCTGTCTACCGGCTTTGTTAAATAAACCTGGACGACTTTGGTCAGTACCGAGAAGAAGTGAAAACCACTAACTGGGTTGGCCGCGCTGTTTGTTTATTTTTAATATTTATTTTGGATTGGCTCGTGCCCGTTCAGCGGGTTACGTAAAAGAAAAGCCAACGTCAAAATGCAGCTTAAAACTGGTTGCCCCAACGATTTTTCGCACACATGAAGAGATATTGCGCATTGCAAAAAGCGGGTAAAAGCGAAAATACCTAATCGAGGAAATACCGGGATGCATCAATTGTGTCATGGAGTTAGTCGGGTGCATTGCTCGATTTATCTGCGAAAGTGTATGTAAGTGCAATGTACATTTATAAAGATTCGTTCAGGCGTATCAAGTTCAAGACAAGTAGGAAGACGGTTTTCTCTTCACAACCATGGCATTACCGCATAACCGTGGAAATAAGCCATTACTAATTGACCAATAAATAGAGATGTGAAAGTACAATCTACCTAAACACGGTACATAAACACAATCTCAATATGATTTGGGTTTTGTTGTCATAATATGATCAGTAAAATTGATCCCACTGCTTTATATTTCAATTTATCACAAGCTAGTGAACTTATCAATAAAATTAAATTTATAATATATAAGAATTCCGCATATCTTGTTTATCTAAAACCCGTTTAAAGAGAATACATGTATTGATTTATTCCATTTGAGATTGGATTGGAAATTAATAATTATTTTCAGGTAGATTGAATGCACCGATATGGTAAAAACACCACTGAGATCTTGCACCTAGGTACCGCCAAATAGACACTCCCCATCACTGCCAATAAAAAAAGGTGTTAATTCCATTGGAAACGGCAACAAAAAGTGGCACAAAATAAGCCAAGGCAATTGCAAAATACTCTTGTTGTCCAGCTGATTTCACTTTGTGCACATTCAACAGCCCGTTTCGTTTCGCGTGTGAGCAAAAATGTAAAAAAACACTAAATATGATGCAGTTTTATCTGACATCTCTTTGTTTACATCGTTTTTAGCAATGTTCTTTGCCTACGCGGTTTTTATCTCGCCAACTCGAATCTCGAATAGCGCCGGAAACGCGAAACGTTCACATCGATCGACCGCTCGCGGCAACCGTTGAAATGAAAATGAACTGAGCGGCCATTTGAATTCAATTTACTGCTCGATGACCGCTCTGTCTATCGATATTAATTCGATAAGAGAACTCAAACTGGTCACATTACTTGATTGCCGCCTTGCCTATCGATCTTAATTTGTAAAAATAACGCATTATTTAGAACCCGCTTCCGCTTTTTTGTTTTCATCCAATCCTATTTTACTTCTTGTAAACATTTTTAATTTTTAAGCTGCAGTAAAAAACACACCGAATATTCATTTAACACTGGTCATGAGGCTAATATAGACATGATCGTCTGCTTGTTCAGCTTGCCATAAAACCTATCGATTAAATAACGTTTATAAAAATACACAAGGTTGTAGTCTTGGCTAACGACATGTAAAATAAACTGTTAATTAGTAATTTGCAAGTAATGTAATGAATAATCCGATATCCCTTTAAACTAAATTAAATATTCTGTGTTTCACCTTTTAAAATAGATAAACATAGAATCCATTTTGGAGGAGGATCTGACTTTTAGGGCCAGCAAGTATCTGCCAGCAACAATTCCATCATAGTTAGGAGCTGCCTACTACACTTTCTATTAACAATACTTCTTAATGCACATATACTAGTTTTTAAATAATTTATTAATTTTATAGTTATTTAAATAAGTCCAAGTCGTTTTTATTCATTAAAAAGCTGCCGTACTAGAAAAGCTGAGAAATTTAAAAGTATCCAAGTGTCCAACTCGTCCATGATCCTTTAAATGGGTTCACTGAGATTAAATCCTTAAATCATACCTGAAATTAGAAAATACATTTTATAAAAACCGAAACATATTCTAAGCCCCCGGAAACCGTTTAATTGTTTACTAAATACCTTAGTATCCTACTAAATACACGTAATGATAGCCCTTTTCCTGGTTCCAAGTTATGTTTGCGTTAGCACGCAGTACATCATCAGTAGAATGCAAAGGATACTAAATGCAAACCAAGCCATCAGGGGGATTCTGAGGGCATCAAGAGACCACAATGATTCATGACCTTGGAATGGAGTGCAGCCTTTCTTAAGCTGAAATGTATACATTAGCCTCCGCACATAAAAATAAAAACCCAAAAGCGATATCTATTGAATACTCTCCTCGCAAATCACGGAAAATGTGGCTCCATTTTCCGTATTCATTTATTTCCAAAAGCAGCATAGGTCTAAACTTGAGAAGTTAGTTAATGTCACCAGATGATTGCCTGTGATGTGTGATCTCATTTCTTATATTACCCAGATAGTTGTTGCTTTTGATTCTTGAATAACTCTTATTGACTAATAGCAAATAACAATAATTGAAGCCCCAGGACATTCAGACAAAGGCGTACCGTATTATTTTCTTAATATTTTTTATTACACATAGTCATAATACAATTCGTAGGTGCTCAACAAGTGGTGATCAACTGATTGAGAATCAACCATATTTGCTGGTTCGGATTTCCTTGGGATAGTGCTTTCGAGGTACAATTTAGTTAAGCTTCAATACAGTTTTCCTTCGATTCGCGTAATGATGTTGTGCATATAATTTAGCTTAAAATTACTCAAATACAATATTGCATATTTTATGTGACAGCTTCGCGTTACAACTAAAACGATACATTTCCTTTTTTTTATTCTTTAACAAATAAAAATGATACAATTGTGTGCGGAAAGTTCTGGTTGGGTTGGGTTGGTGGAGCAAACCTAATCTAAGAGAAATTTCGGCAGCGAATTCGATGTGACCCTGGATGGAAAGCAAATGTGTGATGCGAATGGAAAGCGGGTGCGGACATTTACAAGAATACATATATGGTATTCGGTTACTGTCTAGAAGTCGTACGAGTTGGCCTCATCGTCGCCCTTGCGTACCTTGAAGATGAATCGATAGAGGATTCCGGCCAGCAGACCGCCGGCAATGGGACCCACCCAATATACCCAGTGGTAGGTCCAAACACCCTGCACCACAGCGGGGCCAAAGGATCGGGCGGGATTCATGCTGGCACCGCTCAGTTTGACCTGTAAAATTTGAAGTATATTAGAAATAAATCAGGTATTTCCCTATATCATTATATACTTACTGCGCACAGATGTCCAGCGGTGATGGCCAGACCCACGGCCAGAGGAGCCGATCCCTTGATATCCTGACGTCCCGAATCCGAAACCGCCTTAACCACAAACACCAGAATGAAGGTGATCAGCGCCTCGATCAGCACCGCCTGTGCGGAATCCAGGGAAGGATCAAAGGAGGAAACCCCCAGATCGGCACCAGCGACTCCATTGAGTGCCACCTTGATCACAGCTGCTCCAGCGATGGCGCCCACACACTGCACAATGATGTAGAAGGCCGCCTTCAGGATGCTGATCTCGCCAACGATCAGGAAGCCAAGGGTGACAGCTGGATTGATGTGGCAGCCACTCAAGTGACCCAAGCCCTGGAAGAGGTAAAATATTTGGGATTTTTTAGGGATATATTGATGGGTATAGATTCTTAACTTGAGACACAGTTTCTGATAACCTTAAATTATTCGTTTGTTTTGTTATCTCTTTTGACTCTATATTCATTTTTAATATTTTCGAAATAAATAGGTATAAAAAGAATTGGTTCTTGCTAAGATACATTTTTAAAAGACCGAATTCACTATATAATAATTAAGTTAAGATAAAAATGAATTAGAATTATTTGTTTTCTATCCTTTCCTACTGTTCTATGATGATCTTTTTACTATTTCATAAAAATCCTGTTGGTAGATGAAGATTTTTTTAATGTAAATATTTTAAAGATCTTGAAGAATATTTTGGTATTAACCTTAATTCTATCATTTTAAAAGGTTAATTTGTATGTATATCTATGCTATATCTAAGGTAAGAGTTAGTAAATCCTGTTGGTAAATACAGTTTTTTTAAATGTAAATATTTAAAAGATCTTGAAGAATATTTTTGTGTTAACCTGAATTCTATAATTTCAACAGGTTTATTTTTATGTAGATCTATGATACATCGAACGTAAAACCTAGGAAGGCGTAATAGCCTATCTCTCCCTCGATCAATGCCTGCAAATGTCAAGTTAACAACGCAACATCTTAACCATCTTCTCTTAATGTTTGCCCTTTGGCATGGCAGCTGATTCTTCGATTTTCCGAGTTTTCCGTTGCACAATCGTCTGCACAACGGATACAAGCAATTTGTCAGACCTGCGATGCACTCGAGTGCATTTATTGTGTTTAGCGTGTCTGCAAAGTTCAGATCCAGCTGGCTGGAAAGTAAAAGTGTTTCGTTTTTGGGGGGGTTCTGTTGAGTCATTGCCCGAGAAGAGATCACATGGAACCACTTAAATGGAAATCACAGCCAACAAGTTGATCGGATCGGATCGGATCGGATTCAAGTGTTATGAATGAAGCCGAAACGCACTGCCCAAGGTCGATGTGCAGGCTTCTATGTTTGATATCTCTTTCCAGCCGTGTTTTTTCCACGTTTCGGTACGTTTTGGTGATACGAACTCGGCTTCGATATGGATTTAGCAGTTCGCCGCATGGCCAATGTCGTGCGTCGCTTTGCGTTTAATTAATAAATGCGCAAAAAAATGCCTATGCCGGCCGCTCGGCCACAAAACGCTAATTACAAATGCCGCCAAGAGCAAGATCGAATCGAGTTTGGGGCCCAAAACAGCAACAAATCCGAGCAGCAACTACAACTCGAACAACTTCTTGACATTTTGGTTATGCTCATGCGTGCAATGCAATTTCGATTTCGTCTATAATATTAAGTTGCCGCTTTTGCCTTTGCTTCGGCTTTTGCTGCCACTCCACCTGGTCTCTAATCGATCTGCGTTTTAAGCCCACAATAGTAGGCCTATTGTTCTCAACTCAATACCCCGACTCGTCTTAATTGCACACACTCGAACAGTCGTGAAATTAATCAAATTTATTGTCAAGCCCGAAACCCATAATTAAATTTAATATATGCAACGAAAGTAATCGCGATCGAACGACCGGCTGCGTGTGAAATCCGAGATTGACGGACATGAGTCATTGTTGAAATATGGCTCTAATCAAGTTAGGCCTATGATTGATTAACTAACTTTACTATTTATAATATTAGCTTGGTTGAAATATAATAAAATAATATAAATATTCGAGTAATTTTATGTGTTCTATTAGGTTTTCAAATTATAATTGTTGGGCATATACATTAAAGTAAATATATATTATATCATCTTTGGAATCAAATTTCGGCAATGTTAGTTTGCTAAAGTTTATAGTATTATCGAACTATTTCCCTTTATCAAACTTTTTTTTCCCTGTAATATGATAAGCGAATAATGACTTAAGTAAAATGTATTTGCCTCTATGGTATGAAGAACTGATTGGCATACATCATTATCACCTCTTATCTTGCAGCGTAAGATTTACTGCTGGGATGCTCTTTAAAATATTTGGTAGCGATGCATTCAAGTCAGTCTTATTTTGCCTTGCGACTTGAAAAGTAACTAAGATGAGAGCAATGCAGATCTATATTTTAGTCCTGGTATTTTCGATATACCTAAGGACATCCTATTCAGCAGCCTGCGAGGTGAGTAGTGCATATAAGACATCTAAAATTTCATTGAATTCAAGTGATATATCTAATCAGGGAGATGATTGCCAGCCCCAATGTGCTGCTTACTGCTTTGGGGTTTTGAACCCGTGCATGTCGAGCCTGGCAAACCAACAACGGCGCACAGAGGCCTGTGAAGCAGCCGTAGCTATTGCGAGACTAGCTCTTAATGATCGAAGACTGGATACTTTTGGTTCTTCATTAACGATGCAACCGGAAAAGAAAAATAACTCACAGCTACTTTTGGCACCCACACCCGAAGCCCGAAAATTGGAAAGAAGCTACAATTTTCAGCAACTGGGCAGTAAATATTACTACATTGAAAAAGAAAATAAGACTAATTGGCACGAGGCCTTGGAAAAATGCCATAGAATGGGTGGCTATCTAGCCAGTCTTCAAAATCAAGAGGAATTGGATGCTTTCAGTGGCAAGTTAGATGGTCTAAATCGCTACTGGATCGACGTGACTAGTCAGTTCAAGGATGACGAATTCGTGTCTATAACTAAAGGATTGAAAGCTAACTTTCTGAGTTGGGCGCAGGGTGAACCCACCAAAGATGGCCAGTGTGTGGATATACGAACCTTTAATGGGAAGACTACCATGAATGATAATACGTGCTCGACAAATCTTTATTTCATCTGCGAGAAATCGAACGAAATATAAATGCTTTTGCATTTGAATTAAAATATAAATATTTGCCTAAACAACTTTTTATTATTTAAGTCAAAAGGAAGGGAAAGATTGAATATGTATTACCTGACCAAATAACTATTAAAAGTGGATCTTTGTATAACTCAGCACTAAAGAGTAATTTTTTTCAAACATTGCACTCGAATAAGTTGTACTTGCAATAGGATCTAAAATCAAAATATACTTTATTTTTAAAGTTATTTATTTTGTGTCAGCACTCTCCACGATCTCAAGGTTTTCCATCGGCTACGAAAAGTCTGGCAAAGTCTCTTCTACTGATCGAGATACACATAAATATATATAGAGATCGATTGGCTTACGCATGCAGTGGAAACCGCAGCTCGACATTTACGCTTAAATCATATTTTATGGTTTTCCAGCTGAAAATCGAATGTTAACTTGTTTGTTTCGTTCTGCTTTTCAGCAGCATTTTGGCGATTGTTGTTGTGTTTTGTTGTTTTTGCCTGTTTGCTTGTTGGCCGATTCAATTCAAGTTCGCATCGGGCCAAAGCCAAAGTCGAAGTCGAAGTCGAAGTTTGTTCAACCAACTTGATTCGATTGCGATCGCGAATTGAAAACAAAAACGTGAGTGTTGCACGCACCAAGTTTTCTTGTTTTTTTCTATTATATACTTTGTTTTAACGCCGCCTGCATAATTAAATCAAATAATGGTCAAGTTGTGACTAATTTTTAGTCGAGCAGATACATTTATCAAAAATAATATAAATAGAACTCAATGTAGTTTAGTTTATATCAATTCTTAATCACATTATCAGTAAACACTTTTTGCTTCGAGCTTTATTTTCTTTATTATATTATATAATTTAGGTAATTTTTTGAACTAATAAATTGTTCTAGAAAATAATTATTTTGCCTTTTGTTTTAATATCATCAGCCTTTCTCTGCATTCTGTACTTTTCCTATACTAAACCCCTATATCATTTCCAAACCCTAATAAAAGCCAATCCCTCTCGCTGAACTTTCGATAACAATCGGTTAACATGACATGACAATTTACAATCCCACTTTAAGATCGGTTAATATACATTTTTCCATGCACGTAGTATTGTTGTTTGCCATATTCTCTAAGCATTTTTAGATGCATTAAATTTCATTTTATTTTATTAGCATTTTCTTTGATTTACTTCCTTTTGGCCGACTGTCACGCGATTGTGTAGATGCACACAATGCATACAAATGTGGATCTACCAGGGGAATTTGCATTTGAAGTGCCGATCTTGGGGTAATTCGATATCCTAAGCTCCAGCTTAGAAATATCATATTTCTTGACTCATATCTATCACTATGGCTGGTCGGGCCATTCCAGGGCCCCCAATTGCCGGTCATTAGCACGTTTTCCAATTTGACGCCACGCGTCTTGCTCCATTGAACACCCATTGCTGGGGTTTTTGCTTTGGCCATAGCGATAACGATGACGATGACGAACAACTGCACCATTGTCGTCACACCTGCTGGCGAAATTAGCAATGCATACCTGGCTCTATCTTGGGCTCGAGCGGTGCCAATCGATCGCTGCTGCAAGTCATGGAAAATGGTGTATGGAAAAGGTGGAAAAGCTGCCACAGGTTGCAGTCATGTGACCGATCTGTTCACGTGATTTGCCAAGCGAGGGGACACTAATTTGCCACTAATAGCGAATATGAATGTTGCAAGTGTTTTCCGCGGGGAAATGGCTGAGACAAACATCATTATGTTGGCAATATTGCTACTTGATTTCATTATGAAAATTATTGACGCTTTCAATGTGATTATTAGATTGCAACTTTTGAGGCGTAATCATAAAATGGAAAGGAGAGCGGCTGAATGCAATATTACTCATACGACATGTGTGTCATAGGAAATGTATCATACAGTTGAACTCAAAAGGATCAAGTCTTTATGGAACATCAACTATTGTAGGAAGGGTTTTATCATTTTCTTTATAAGTTTCTTAAGCTTTTAAAATATGAATTTAGTTTTAAATTTATTTTCTTATATTCTTTTAAATTTATGAAAGTAGCTTACATTAATATTATAAATATTACCTTTTTTTAAGTTTTTAGATTAAAGACATATACTACTACTAAATACTACAAAAAAACCAAGGTTGTAGTTGTAAAAATTTAAATTGGAGGTTAGAAACCTCTATTTAGGATTTTAGTGTGACCAACCTTGTTAAATAAACTTTAGGATTTTCAGGAAATATTAATTCCAAAAGCCCACAGCTTGTAATTAAGATTTAAATTTCAAGCTAGAAATGTTCTATTTATACAGATCCAGTAAGTGACACAGGTATCTAAATATAGAACATCATCATCGCGTTCTTGATGGATTCGGTTGGTTGAGCTTGACTTTTGTAGTGCCATAAATCGAATGCAAAGCGCAGATCGCTTTAAATGCTAAAGCACGACAACAGTCGTCACTCGCACAGCATAGCGTAATTAAACGCATAATAATCTAATTGCATATTTTGCGTGTTGATTAATGTTAATTGCCCGCGCAGACGCTTTTGCTGCGAGCGCGCATTTATTATTCGCACTGCGAGTGAGTTCCAGTGTGCGTTTGTAAATCTGTCAATTTTGTAAATTACATTCGCACGCAGTCTTGAGTTTTTGAGCGGCAAGCAGCATTCGCTGGTCGCTTTATTTTTTTGTTTTTCAAATTTTTATGGCGGGCCCGCGATGTTGTCGCTTTTAAATGCCAATGTCTCTTGGCCAAAAACGCAGCGTTTGTGAATGAGCCGAAAGTGTAACGCGGCGGTGGCGTGTCCTTGAAAATGCCCGCCGATCAGCGCACGCACCGCCGACTTCTGGCCTGAAATCCCCGACTTGGCCAGCAGATCTCAGATCTGAAATGCTCTAGCTCGATGCGTTCTCTTTGTGTGATCTGTATTCTATTGAAAAGAGTGGACCTGAACCCATAAGATTGCAGGGTTCAATATATACAGAAAATAATCATACGACTTGTTGACTATACCAGGATATTATACCCATTTTAAATACAAATACGTTATTAAAAAATATTACTTATATTATGACATTACGAAAAATCTAATATACCTTTAATTTAACTGGAACATTGTGAAATTTTCTAAAAATTTAAAAATAGTACACTGCACCAACTTTTAAAACATTTTGATTATCACCGTCGTTATAAAAAATGCACAGTATCCTACGGAGTACTGCCAAAAATACTTAATTTATAACAATGTATGTTGAATATGCTGTGATATTTTCCAACCTTGGTCACACTTTCGATAAAAAATGTATCGTCTATGCACAGGGTTATTATCGAAAAGCATCCTGAACATTCTATCGATCGACAAATGTCAATAATAAGACCCTTTCTAAATAATATTAATTTGTAAAAATTTGGTCTTTCTCTTCCATTTGAAATACGATCTTAGCTAAGGATTACCTATGTCCCAATTTATCAACTCATTCCAATTAATTTAAACTTTTCAAAAATTAATTTTTTTAAATTCAAGAATTAATTGAATTAAAAGAGGTTTGAATAGTAATACGATTCTTGACCATTTAAAGTAAACCTTCAGCTTAGACTTATCTATATCAAAATGTATCTAAAATGTATCTAAATTTTTAAATATCATATCTAAATTTGTTTTCGATCAAAAAGGTGTTAGTTAAAACTCAAAATAACACTTATATGCAATGGGAAAATCCTATACTCAAACATCAAGAGCGTGGAACTTAGTATCTAGAGACATAGCCTCAAAGACAGTGGTCCATCCTAGCTGAAATTTGTATGCGCATAGTTACCTGGGCGATTGTGGCCACCGTCAAGCCAAAGGTGAATGCGATCTGTGGTACACTTCCGCTCGTCGTGCTGCCAACGCCGACGAAGACCAAGAAAAATGTGCCCACCAGTTCGCCGAGCAGCATGCGCCAGATTTTCTTGTTCTCGGTAATGTCGGCAACGCCAACGAATTTCGACATTTCTGCAATTGGAAAACACAGACCGAGCATTAGAACCCAATATTAGTAATCGCAAACAAAAAGCACTGAAATCGGCGAAAAAACCATTGATTGATACTTGCGCAGCGCATGCCAAATCATTATTAATTATTAGTTTTTGTCAGCTTATTGTCAGTTTAAAGCAGCTCTTAGTCAATAAAGTCGGTCTAAAGAAGGGGAAAACAAATCAACACAGAACTGTCTAATGTTTATCTAAGTGGAACCACTAGGAAAAAAAAAACAAATTAGGTAGAACTTTTTTAAGTTTTAATATAATACTTAGACTTGTTGTGCAATTTTCTTTAATATTTTATTGTAGTTTATTTAAATTTTTATATTTTTAAATATAAATACGTTGCAGTTTGTGCAAAGTGACATAAAAACAAGGTATTTGATGTATTTATGTGACGTTGTAGGCAATAAAAACACGCTCTTGAATATGCACGTTTATTGCAATTACGTCAATGAAGTAATAGTGAAAATTGGCAGCTCATTTTCTTGGAATACCTAAGCTTAGTTTATATAAATAAAACAACGAACGATTAAAAAATTCCTTAAATTATGATATTGTTTACTTGTTGTTCAAACAATTTGCCCTTTACACTTGCGTTGCCAACAAATTTGCATCGTTTGATTAATTGATTTGTTTAATAGCACTTGGGTGTTTACTTCCTGACAGAAGCCTTTCATTTGTCATTTCATTGCCCGTGCCAGGCGTAGTTGAGTGCTAATGAGTGGGTGTTAATTAATTTGTCTACGCGCCAAGCAGTCCCAACAAATATTTGCAAAAAAAACTGCAGCCTAAGCCCCAGTTGCACTGCCAATAAAATTATTTATAGGCATGATGACTGCCGTTTAATTTGGTGCAATTAAAAATAAATGTATGGCTTATCAGGCGGTTGAGAAATTCATGGGCTTCGCCTCGTTTCTTAAGCCGCATTTAAATAGACATTTATTTTATGACTGTCACTTGACCAAAATGCCTGGCTAAGTGATGAACACACAACGCCCCTTTTTCCACTGATAAGTGACGCGATCTTATCGCCAAGTTCGCACACTTTACTTAACACGACAATTATCTGGTGTCCCATGACTCTGAACCAACCGAGATGATAACGCTGGTAGGAAAACCCCATAAAAATCTGGGTGTTACCATTAACTACTGGCATCAGCTCAAAAGCAATAGAAAACTGCAATCCCTATTTCAAATTCAACAGGGGTATATCAAGTGAAAATATCAAATGCAGGCTAACGTGATCTGAATTGGCTGAAATCCCAGAGGAATTCCCCCGTCGAAAACCCAGGAAATCCATAAATAACTTGAGCTGACATTAACTTGTGATATTTCTTGGAATTCGATTGAATTTTGGCGTCACTTTTTATCGGTATAAAACTAGAAAATGATAAAGCAATATCAAAGAGAACTTATAAGGTGACTAACTTACTTTAAAAGTGACAGTAAATTTGAAAATAAAATCAGTTATCACTCTTTTGGTCTAAATATCTTAAGCCCAGGAAGTGCCCATTAAAGAATATTAGGAGCAATAACCATTTTATCAAATGAAATATGATAGTCGCGACTTTTTGGTAGGCGCTAGTAACGATACACCCACACAAGGTGCGTAAATAAGATTGGAATTGAAACCAGATCGACCTGTTGACAAGAATCGCAATTGGCCCAAACTCAATTAGCATAAGTGTACAAAATTTATGGTTTATTTGCCATGAACATTTGTTTAATTCATACGGCGTTCTCTCTATGTTAATTTGCAACGTCGAAGACAAAAACAAATGTAAATTGAATTTAATTAAAGATAACGAAATGTCAAACATAATTACACGATCATTGTGGGACAAACAAACACAAATTATTGGCGAACTGAGCATCTCCGTTTGACAATCAATCAATACGGCGAGGGGGGGAAATTAATAACTTCATCTGCCAGATATTAATCACGGCAATTGAATTGAAAATCGAGATTCAAGTTCAATGGAACCTCAGGATCATTAATAAGCAATTTGTGTGGCTTTCATTTGAGGCTTTGAGCTGTGAAATGCACTTGGTTTGATGGCTGTTAGCCAGTTTAGTTGACATTTAAATTGGCAGTAACTTTGGACTGACTTTTATAATATATATAGTACTTTTTGGAATAGGCTTGTTGGGACCCACTAAAGCTTAGGCAATCATCAGCAGCAATCAGTTCTATAATTGATGGGCTTTATATCTTGGGGTTTGTTTTCAGGGAGCCAACTAACTCAACAGGTCTCCATAAAGATAAAGTAGTGAGTGCCACCTAAAAATAAACCTTATCTCCGGCGTTTACCCAACTTAATCTAAATGGCCCGGTGCGATTTGTTTTGGGCCTTACTAACAACCTTCGTAGGCCTTCTTGTCACATCCTTGGGACTTGGCTAAGACCTAACAAAAAACATCTTGATACGCCATTGAAAGTGGTCTGAAGAAAATGCGAAACCCAATAAACTATTGTATGGCCGGCAGGCACTTTAAAAAATGATATTAACAAAATGAAAAAAATCATAATAACAACAATTACACACAAAAGTCATCAATTGGAAGGTGAGGGCGTGACGACGTCGAGGCTTTTGGTTTTGTGTTTTGGCGAAAAAACCATATAGACATAAAAACAATCCATCAGCAAGGCCAGCCGAGATACATTTGTACATTTGCCAGATGAAGATTTATCTGTGTTAATTTCGTCTTTTAATTTGTCGAATACCATTTGATAATGTTCATAATGAATCGTAATTAATTTAATTTGAGGGAAAAGTTAACTTCGCCAAATGTATTCTTTGTAATTTGATTAGAGCGTAAAGGTGTGTTCTAAATAAAGTCGAGAACTGGGACCGCTCCATCAATTTTCCAGCCCATCAATCAGAACACGATATTGTCATTGCCATTGCCATTCGACATGAAATTAATTAGTGGGGCGCACATCAAAAGCAAACTGGCTTCGCTATCGCCAGAAACATAAACATTTAACATTTAATTTCTTTCAAATCGAGAAATTCCGGGCGTATGCGTAATAATATTTATCGTCTGCAAAATCGTTCTGGGTTCTTGCCATCAAGAAGTTGGCTTGGAATTGCCTGACCCACATACCAAAAAGTACCTGTTTTTTTAGTATCACCAATGGTGTACCTGTACCTGGTACTTGAGCTTGATGGCTCTGTCCCGTTTTTAATTTTTTTGTTTTGCAGAACCAGCGAAAATTTGAAATTCAAAACAGGTAAAGAGTGGCTTCGTTTCGGGCTTGTCTCACTCTTTTTCTTTCACTCGGCTTCCGTGTTTGAAAACAGCTAGCGAGCTCAACAATGCACGAAGAAAACAAAACAATTTTTTATTACTCGTGCTTCAAGAGATTGAGATCTCTCGCCGGCAAAGTTTCAAGCGCTGAATACCCTCCCAAAGAGTCCTAATGCTATATTATACTAATTAATTAAAATAAAAATCTTATAATTGTAATACATAGTCTATTGTACAAATATTATTTTTATAATTTAACACTTGCTTATAATAATCTCTCAAAATATTGGCTAGTTCTCATAATTATGATAAATATAAAATTTTTTTAATAACTAGACTGATAACAATTTTTTTGTCACCTAGTCAAATGCATCTCTATAATATTCATTATCTGATAGCAAGTACATGGAAAATATGTGCTTCTATCTCAATTTAAAAAAATATATTTAATTTATGTAGGGTATACACAATTCATATACCCCAAAGATCCCACAATTCCAATTCAAATGTCAAGGTCGCTGCACATTTCACAAGCACGCTTGCGTAAAAAATCTTAGCACTTTCGTTATCGCTGGCAGGTCCCTTAAATCACGATCCTCGTTGGAAAAATGCCTTAGGTAGTGCTGTTGAATTTCACTTTCGCATTCATAGAACCTTCCCCAAGATTCAAGTGGTTCTCGTAATATTCAACTATTTTGCAATACCTCAGATAGCATCTTGAAGTACGTACGTTCCGGCCGGCGATTTATAGCTATTGCCTGGACTGACTGAATTACCGACCGATAAGATAGGTGAGTCAGGTGAGCTGTCTGCTCCCAGATAGCCAAAGAATTTTGGATCCCCATGTACGGGTTTAATTGACTGGCCTGCATATAATTACTGTATTATTAGCAACTCCCTGGCACTGGAAATTGCTTTGGCCCCCGACCCAAATATAGTAATCCACATTGTGTGTCCGAATTGGAATCTATGCCAAGTTGGCCTGGACTACTAAGTGCATGTTTCTAAAACCCGGGAAAGGTGGCTTTGCAGTTGCCATAAACTTGATGTTGCCGCGGATGTCCGCTCGACATGGTCTTGCACCTGTTCTGGTTGTACTCAATGTGGCTCACATCCTGAAAACCTTGTACGGAACAGGCACTGAGAGAAATCGGGTCTTACTATGAAGATGATTTTGATTTAAAAATGAAAAAAATTTATGAATGAATATTAAAATCCAAGTACCTGTATTACCGATAAACAAAGTAGGCAAGGTGTAATGAAAGAAAAATTTTATGATATCAAAAAGTATTCACTATTATTAATCACAAACAAATCATTATTAGGAAATACAATGAGTAAGTGGAATTCGTTTTACTTTATACAAAGTTCTATTAGCTTTATAATTGTTTTCTTAATAATATTGTTCTGTCTTTCGGAACAGAAGTATTTTATTAAAGTAATATACCTATAGACGTTGGTTCTTCTGTGAAGTCGCTTTTTTTTTAATATGATTATTAGCGTTCCCCATTAAATATAATTTTTATTTTAATTATGTGTTAAAGTTGTTTAACATTTCGTAGTAATATTTTCTTTAAAGTTTAAGCCAGCGCTCGGCAGCCACCCATTAAGCAGTAATAAGGAATAGCTTTGCAAGATCTCTGTCGCAACACGTACAGTGTACGACAGCGGCACACACACACATCGATGAACTGTCCATTGCACTATTCCGACCGCTGTTTAAAGTCAGTAATCAGTTTTGAAATATTTCGCAATTTGGATAACTTTTTCTTTCAGTGCTTCTTGAGTCCAGCCTTGGCAACAGCGAAAATCAAGGTGCGGGGGCGTGTCGATGCACACGTGCCCACGGCTAAAGGCCAAGTCAAAGGCTTGGCCCCCAAGAGCCGCTCCCAAGTCCTTCCCTGAATCACTTGGCTGGTTATGTTGATTGGGGAACCTGGGTAAGGCTGGGTTAGCCATGACTTATCTGCGTATTATTAGAACATGAGCAATGTCATCGCCTGTCGCTTTTTCTCACCTAGTTTTCAGATGGCAAGCATTTTCCGCTCTTGCAACTCATTAATTTGCTCCTGGCACGCAATTTCGGCATAAGTTTCCTAATTTATGACCATTTTTGCTCATATGTTTCTTAATTATTTGGGGAGGGGGCCGAAGAAATCGACTGGGTAACGAAAAGGATTCACAAAAGCTAGTTTAATGGCTTATGATAGTTTTTAAGGTGGATCAAATGGTAATTTTCCAAACTGACGTCACATTGACACGTGTGTCATTATTATCAACGAGAAAGTTAAAACAAATCAGTGAAATTGGAATGACATATGCTTTAATGGACTTTACGTAAGACTCTGATTCTGCTACATTAAGAAAAGAGTGAGCAACAAAGAACTTAACTTTGGGGTGTGTTTTAACAATAAAATTTTTAAATATAAGTGGGTTGAGTAAATTTACAAGGGTTATTTTCGTCCATATATGCAAATTATGTTATTGTCGTTCATCCGAAGTTAATTCCAAGCAACGGGGAATAAATTTTCCATATGTAAGTGCAAAACAAAAGGTTCTCGTATATTGTTTTCAAACCATTTCGTCTACAACAATTAATCAATTTAATCGGATTATTAATATCGGTTTGCGCAAGTCTTGGGCGCTTTTGTTCGGCAAGGTGATGATTTTATTAATAACAGTCGCGGTGAAGATCGAAACCTGTTCGCTGGCCATTAAAATCGTTATAAATTAATTAGCCAGATGGGCAGGGACTATTCAGTTTTCGTTTGCTGTGCGGGAGGAGTGCGTACAAATTCACTTATTATCTTTATGGGCTTTTGCTCAAACGAATTGATGTCGCCTTAACTCGTTTACAATGTACCATAAATCAGGGGCAATTTATTGGGGTTTGTGGTTTATGACTAACTTTGAAAGTTACCAATTAATTGAGATAATTTGAGATGACACGATAGGGAAAATTGGGAGATTTTAAGGGGGTTTTTCAGGGAGATCATTAATAAATAATCAAAAACCTCTAAAAATCTTTACAACTTCCAACTAATTTAGTTATTATTTCCGTTCTCATCGTAGTACATTCCATTGAAAATCAGAATAACTCAACTTAGGACACTTAAAAATTCCAATTATTATCCCCGACACATTTCGAATTTAATTCAACGTTACGTGAATCAAAAACTTTCCATGGGAACCGAGAATCTTCGCTCCTGTGCTTCTCAATGGCAGCCTATTATCTTAATTATAAGCTATCTGATTAACAAACAAGTTGATCTTCCATTGAGAACCGAGCTGAGTTGGGTGTTATTAAGTGGAGATGTGCACTAACTGTGCTAAATGTCTAATGTCTAAATGTTCTGTCGGTCGTACCAAAACAATTTCCTGGCTTTAAGTGTGCTACTGTTTTGAATGCCAATTTCACCGTGATGTCATGTCGACCCGGCTCACGATTATTACTGTAATTTTATATCTGCGAATAACCGACGCCATAAAAACAGCAAAACTAACGTCAGGTGGAAGTGTATATATAGCGATGTTGGCCCAAGATGACAACGCATTGAATTATGAGGCGGGGAAGATGTTTAACCGAAAGAGAGATATCAAATTAAACACACGTTTGTGCTATAATTTGCAGAATTTAAACGCCAACGGGTCGCGAATTTCTCACGCACCTCTCATAAGACTATTTTTAACGGCTTACCAAAGTATACTAGTCTAAAAATTCCATTCGACCATTAACCACTGAACCAGGCAGTGAAAATATTTAATATCTAAATCAAACATTGAACCTTGTGTTTAAACACTTGATCAAATAGAAGCTCTGGCGTTGACATTAATTAGCTGGAACCGAGAATTTCAATAATGGAGCTTGGCTGGCAAATGAATATTTAGCGCTTGGCAAATATTATCGCCATTATCAAAACAAGCGGCGAAAATGACGCCAGAGATCGGCTTTAATTCTTCGGGGTAAACAGAAAATGCAATTAAGTTTTTTAATTAATTGCCTATGGAAGCTGGACAAATAAAAGTTCCTATTTTTCGGGCCTTTATTTGCTTTTCTTCAGTTCATTCACTTGATGTAGTTTTATTGCTTTTGTTGGGGAGTCATCAACATCATCGTCGTATAAATTGCCCGACTGTAGTTTCCGCTGTGTTGTTTACCTATCTAAGTTTTCTCCTATCTATCTTTTTTCTTTGGAGGCTTTTCTGTCATGCAAACTTTCAGTTACAGAAATCATCATCAAACGCCACGGAAGCTAAATCAAAGCAACAAAAAAATCAACATTCAACTATAGAAAAATAACTTCAGGCTAATTTACTGTGTTTGTCATGCTGCGCCACAGAAATTATTGAAAACTAATCATCTTGTTATCGTTATCGACAGGCGGGCTACCTATTGATTTACTCATCTATCCCGAAGAAAGACGATCTATCAAAACATCTATGGATAGGTTATTATAGATGATTAATTACACAGGTATGATTTTATTTAGATACATCTTAACCACTGGGGTTTGTTTGAAAAGTGAAAACACAAGGTTATTGTTTTTAAATAAGGAGTATCATAGACCAGTTTAAATATAGTTAAAGGCAGGCTTATAAACAGAGGTACAAACAATTTATGCTTTTATAATAAAAATTTTTTTTTTTACTCAAGTTAAATCAAATTAAATCCCATAATTGTAAGTATTGTTTGGGTAAAGTTCTTTCAGAACTTCTTGAAGAAATTTTTTTTTTAATTTTCATCTTTTTTTTAAATGTTGCTTTTATTTATCTTATAATTAAAAATATTTTTTGGGCTAGGCACTTTTAGAACTTTGTTTTCAAAAGTGGTCATAATTTTCCAATGGTTTGTACATATTTTCTAATGTATTAAAACTGGTATCAAGACTATCGAACATGTGGGTAGAGTTATTAAAATTCGACTCATTTTATTTAATTTCATATTTCGTGAACAAAGGAGGAAAGCCCCTAAAGAGTGGCATTAACTTTCGTAGCAAATCAAAACAATTTCGCGCACTCTTCGCCCCCATTTTGTTCGCAATTAACCTTCGCACACACGCACACGCATTGTTCGCATTCTCCAGTCTACAGTTTCCAGTCTCCAATCGCCAATCACTCACCTGTTTTCTCAACCATTTTGGCTGTCTTCTGTCTTCGGTCTTCTGTCTTCGGTCTACTGTCTTCTGGGGGCTGCCACTTGAGATTTGGCAAGCGTGGGGGGTTTCGTATCGAATCGAATCGAACTTGTGCTTTGCTTTCGTTTTCAAAGCACGCTTTTTGCTGAATTTTTTATCGCTGGTGCGGGTAAAAGTGAGTTAGCGAGCACTTGAATCAAACTGAATTGTGCCAATAGTTTTTTGTGGCCAAAATATAATTGTTAAGGTTAAGAGTCTTGAGGTTGCACAATTGTCAGGCACTTGACCACAGCGAAAAGTGGAGTTGTTTTTTTTTTTTGTCAATTTAATTTCACCCGACTGCCTTTTCTGTTTTTCCAGCGTTTCTCGTCGTTTCGTTTATTTTCACACTGGGCTCAATAATTATTTTCTTTGAAATTGGAAAGCGCAACGAACAATAACTTGATTTTATTATTTTCAATTAAATTAACCGCTCCGAACTCGATTTCCTTTACGAATTTTCCAAATTACCGTTGCCGTGTCTTGGCTTTTCTTTCTCGGAGATTGTGACTGGATTTATTTAAGCTGTGCTACCACGTTCGCTGCTCGAGCGCAAATAAACGTTGGCAACGTTGCGGCTGTAACTGATATACCCTCTGCCGCAGTCGCAGTCGCCGCCAGCGTCGCAGTCGCTGCTTGCGTCGACGTCGACTGAGGCAGCAAAAGCAGATTTTTGTTTTGGGGCTTGGTCAATACGCTCCACTTCGCTATGGAGGCAAACGAAGGATCTGGGTTCGGAATACGGAAAATGGAATACGGAATACACCTGCCCTGATGACTTAATCGAATGGGGGTGTAAAAACATTTATTATGGCTCTAGGGCGGGGAAATACATATGTATTTACGCTTTTTTGATGGCTCTATTTTGCCAATCTGAGTGGCTTACCTTCCTGTTGCAAGTGCAAATCATTAAATCTTTTCTGACAAAAAAAAGCTTTGGATGGGCTTGGCCTAAGTGAGCATGACGTTTTTTCAACTATCTTTGTAATCCGAATTTACAATGTTTATATTAATTTAAAATGGATAATGGTTGTAATAATATTATCAAAGCTATTTCATAAATGATTTCGTGATGATTGCTGCCTTTAAGTAAGCCATAGCCAATTGGCATAAAATTGGTTTAAATAAGTGAATTAAATTTGAATTTACCCGATAAAAGACCTCAAGACGTACAATCTCTCCAAAACGAAAAAGAAGATAAGATAAGTATTATAAAAATATATTATTAAATCGATAGATAAGTAAGTTAACTGAGTGGCACATTTAAAAAAAATGCCCTTAATCCCACAAAGCTACTGTAATACAGTATTACTAATACGGTGGCAATTAAAACCCCATGAATTTCAATTATATGAAAGATGTGCCATTTTTAATCTAATTGTTATTGACCAAGGGGAAAGTTCAGAGCCATTTTCGGCTTATGCGCACAGCCTAAGAGCTATCAGCCTGCCATTTTGGGCACTTGATATATGAACGTGTGCGGTTTATAACACTCAAAAAGCAATAAACATTTTTAAATAATCTAATTGCGCTGGTCATGCAGAACCTCAGACGTAGTTATCGCATGGCTCAGATCTTATCATCCCAGCAGAGTTCTGACTTTTGGTAATCCACAAATGGTTTAACCCAACCGTCCCTCTAAAAAATGCCTAGTTGCCCACCCACCTCAATGCCGGAACATTTTTCATTTAATTTTAATGGCTATTTATGGCAGCTTTTCCACTCTTAACTCGGCTAATGGGTTATGGACGGTTGGGCCCTTATCAGTTTCACTTTTAAACAACTTTCCACAGCTTTAATTTGCCCTATTGATTGCGGGGTTTCGCTTATGAATAGGGCTTTTACCTTGTCGTGGGGAACCTATTTTTATCTCTGGCCAGAGCAACAGTTGCGAGTTATTGACAAAACAAGTGACAAGCCAAAATAAAAGGAGACATTCGCGAGGAGCCCATATTTTGTTTGTGGAAGCGTCTCAGCCCATTATGAAAACAAGAGCCAAACTTCAGACGGTTTTATTTATGCCTTCGGTAAGGGAAGTAAACCGAAGTGGAGATTTGCCGACTTTGTTGCTTTAATGAGTAATTATGTTTAATGCCAGTTAACCATTAAAATGGCACGAACTCTGGCTAAATGGGCGAGATAATAATCGCCGCCGTTGAGATGGTCTATGCTTGTCGAATTACCAATAGATCTTGGGCTCCCGCCTCCTTTTCATTTGAGTTTTCATTCAACAAAGTAACTCCCATAAGCTTCCTCAAAGAAAACCAATTAAACTGCAATTTGTTCGGCACAATTAGATAGAGATAGTTCAAATCGTCAAATTAGAATCGCCTTAATTGTAATTAAATGAATGAGATTATGGACGAGAAGTTTGTACAGTAGATAGGGACAGTAGTAATTGAAAATGTATGTACGTATTTATAATTTGTTGGGAACAATTAGATAGAGATAGTTGAAATCATTGAATAAGAATCACATTAATTGTAATGAAATTAATGAGATTATGTGCGATAAGTTTGTAAAGTAGATAGGGACAGTAGTAATTGGAAATTTACCCTTGTTAAAGTTCTTGAAAAAATATACGTGTTATTAAAAATATAGGGTTCTATAATTACTCAATTAAATCCATAAAAACGATAATGCGTTACTAAATGGAAAACAAAAAACTTTAACTTCAGGTTTGGACAGTAGGAATTAAGAAATGTATTTATATGTGTACCTATGAAATGTATCTTCAATTTACCTAAATGATGTTTAGGACCCTAATAAATTTTATTTTTTTTTTTATTATTATATTATTTTTTGTATTATGTGCCATTAAGTAAGGTCAGGAATTCCACATAAGTGAAAGCGGGAAAATTAAAACGGGAAAATGTTTTAAACTAGCCAAATGATTTTTCCCAAATGAACCGGATAAAATTTGAATAAATTTCATACAAAACGATATAAAACTGTACAAATGGAAGTTGCAATTACCAAAACCGAATTGAATTTAATTTGGTTTTCTGCAATTATCTGTTTTCTCTGCACTTGGATCTTGTGATGCTACGAAAACAATTCAAAACACGGTAACAATAATAACCGTAAGCGGACTCCAGTGACATTGAAACATTTGCAATTGTAACTGAAAATGACGGGCGATCGCCAAGTGGACTGTAAAAAAAAAGAGGAGAAAATTAAAAATAAAAAGAAAACAAAGCTAAATACATAAATGCGTAAGCGCACACAGAGAGAAACGATAATAATCTCAAATCGAATCGCTAATATTATGTTTGCTTATGGGGGCGGCTAATAAACGAATTGAAATGAATTTTGGCCGCACAATGGACGCCAATGAGTCGGTAGAAAATTAAATGGCCCGAAATTGGTTCAATCAGGTGGCAAAAGGTGGGAGCGTGTGCCTGTTTGTTTTTCGCATGTGGCCCGCGAAGCAGCCAAAAAATCGAATAAAGGTCAATGTCACAGTCCACCCCCTCTACACAAGCTTTTTTCTCCAGTCCGAGATGCTCTATCTCCGGCGTTTGACACTCCATCCATCTTGGTTAGTGGTCGCTGTAAAAGTGTGAGTCTCGAGATGCGTGAGTGCCCAAGTCAACGACTATGGTCTATGCAAATTTTGCCAGCGCTCTGATTATGGCTCACTCAGTTAGTTTTACTAGCTATGATGTATGATACAACCTATTAAGTACAGTAAACCAAAGTTCTTCAACCGGACTCAAGGAATATCGGTTAAAACATCTACTTTCATGATCTATAAACAAGAAGAATCTAGGATTTTACCTTTTTTATTTGAGTGATCGCGTTCATCTCTAGTTCTACAACATCAATCAATGAATTTCGGTTAAACATCTTTGTTTATGATATATACCTCACAAACTTTTAAGTTTTTCTTTCCTTTCATCTACTTTTATGATCTATAAACAAGAAGAATCCAGGTTTTTACATTTTATACATATCTATTAACTTGTTACTCTTTATATTGTTATTAACTTATATTTTAACTACCTATCCTCTCCTTTTTTATATTAGTGATCGAGTTCATCTCTAGTTCTACAGCATCAATCAATGAATTTCGGTTAAAACATCTTTGTTTGTGATATAAACCTTACAAACTTTTCAGTTTTTCTTTCCTTTTTTTTAATATCATCCAATAATATCTCTAGCTCATCAATATTAATCATCGAATTCCTGTTAAATCATATACTTCCCTGGTCTATAAAAATGCAAACTTTTCAGTTATTGAAGCCCATAATAAATAATTAAATAATACAATATAACTAAATTTTTATATTTTATTTTTATGTTGTTTTTTTTTATTTTGTTGTTTACTTATGTTGATAAATGCCTTTCATTTCCTTTTCTTAATATTAATGGCAGACAAAATCCATAAATTGAAGCTAAGAAAGTGATATCAGGACTTTTTTGTGTTATGAATTGTTATATGGTAACTAGTAATATGTTTTATAATAGCTTTATATATATTTGCCTTAGCCTATCTCCACTGTACACGCAGATCACACATAATGTTTCAATAAGGCCGCAGCTTGGGGCTGTTGGCGTTTGGTTTTATTGTGTCTGGTCTTGCGGTTCTCGTTATTGTTTTTTGGCAAGCCTCGTCCAAGTCCAATTCGAAATTTTGAATTGTTGTTGAGCTATTTGTTTTGCACATTTTCAGTCGCTTGTCGCCTTGCCATGCCTCTCCATCCACATCTCCACATCTCGAGACTCCATCATATTTTTGCAGCCATGACTAACCAACCTCTGGTTGTTGTTGTCTTCAAGTTGTCTTCACGCATGCGCCGTGGGAAATATTTCCAAGAGCTTTCGTAGAAGCGAATCTTATGCGGGCATCGCAGCCGAATTCTGGTCATGGATCGCAAAATCTACAACTCACATTCTCTCCAAGCTAAATGTTAAGGTTAATTCTGGCACACGAGGCGTATACTCACTTCCTGTAGCAGGTACACGCTGCGTATGAGCGATGTTGAAGCGCGTGCCGGACCAAAAATTGCAGGTAATTAGCCAAAAATAAAAGGCACTACATCTCTTGCCCATCTGTCCGGGCTTAAAAGTTCGCAGCACTCCAATATTGATTGGCACAAGCACTCGCTTGTACTTGTAGAATTTTTGCCCATTTGTGTTTACCCAACTTCTTCGGTTTTTGTTCTCGCACTGACTTTTGTTTTATATAGAAATACATCAAGAACGGATGGTTTTTTTTGTCGCAGCTTAGCGATTTGTTTTGTTTTCAATTTATTATTTTATTTTTTTGTGATAAAGTTAGGCACGGCTCTGTTGACTTATGGCGTACGTGTTATATATCGAGAGCCCATTAAGATGGAGAACGGTAATGGGCACATAAAAATGGCAATTGATGAAAATTTGCTTATTTCCGATGCTGATAAGCAGTCGCAGATGTTTCGAGTTTTATTTTTGTTTTGCAATGTGATTTTAAGCGGTAATCAAAGAACACTGGAAATATATATAGTATATATATAGTATTATATATAGTACGGAACTAAACGGAATTAGCTCTTTGTCTTTGAGAATTCGGT